TTGTGTGAAGTCTGCAGGAGTTTGTGGGGTGTGAGGAGAGGCAGTAGTTGTCGATAAGGTGATACTCAAAAGGTCAATTATATCTTGTTCTTTCGTGGTCCTAACAGGTGCAGAGGATCTGGCAGAGCTAATGCATTGCTCAGCATTGGGGCTGAGGGTGCTGATATAGACGTCGCATTGTTGCTAGTGTTCACTGAGGTAGCTCCTTCACTGGTTCCTGTAAATGTGCTTTGAGAAGTACTGGACCGTGTTTTGGAATGCCTGCACCCATGAAACAAAATGTCTATTATGAACCAGAGTACAGGGCGTACAACAATGATTCCACCACATAAACTCTAAATAATAACATGGTGTCCCAGGCAAAGGATACAACCAACTTTGAACTGCTCCATTATTTTAATAAATTTGTCTTTAGTAATATACCAATCGTAGATAATCATCCACATATATCCACTAAAATGTAGACAGCTACAGAACAGCGAAGTGACCGGATCATCATCAGTATAAGACCATAGTGTCACGCCGCCGTCTGCTGCAACTTAGTACTCATAGAGGTGAAATTTAAATGATAACTGCAGGAATGTATAAAAAAGAACTTGTAAGTCAAAAGCAACCTTCGAGCTAGCTGTGCAAAATCATCTTCCTCCTCATCCTCTTCCTCAATCTGGCTAGTCGTCAAAGCAAGAACTGGTGCAGAGAGATTAGCATTCAGTGGCGGGCTGGTAACTTCAGTAGGTTTAATGGGGGAGTCCTGTACTTCAGTTGACCGGGGGTTTAAATTTGTTACTTGCCTTGGCAGCGGGGAACCAGAAGCTATAGCATCATGTTTTGCGAGCACACTTTGCAGCTTATCATTTAATTCAAGACCTTGACCAAGAAGTTCTTCATCTCTGCCACAGAATAGAGCAAACTACTGAGAAGTCCACGACATACATGTGCATGAACAAACTTACTGAGGCTGCTATCCTAGAATTGTAGTGAAATGAAAAAAAGAAATACGATTGCTGAATATTTGGTGCAGCGAATCAAGAATAAAAGATAGAGGATGAGAACATACGCAGTTGTAGTTAACATCTGCATCAGCTTCTTCTGGTTGGCACAACACTGGTCAACAAGATCGATGATTATTTCATCTTTTACAGCCTACAAACAAATGAAAACATGCAATATTTTCAGTAGTATCTTAGCAAGATGATAGATTAGAAGACCAAAATGCACATACCATACGGTCACTTGGAGTCACAGCTTGCAGCATGTCAGCTAAGAGATCCAGAACATTTCGCATGGAATTAATGCTTGATAAACTAGGAGGATGAGAAAAAGAAAATAAATCACAAGTTATAGTGGGACATGAATAAGACAGAAAAAAGCGTGTTCAAAACAAAGTCGAATCGTCACCTTAAATTTTCCATGTCAGCTGCCATGGCTTCATCAAGCCTTGTTGATGAATTGCATGGCATTCCATAACCTGCTTGAGCATGTCTGAGAGTGGAGTGGGTAACAGGTGGCGTAAATATTGGAGTTACATCTGATGAATGCTGGGGAAATTCTACTCCAGAACGCTGGCATGAATTGAGAGACTAACAGTTATTACAAAAAGAAGGGGGAAGGGGGAAGAAAAAAGTCTTGCCTGCCAATTATCATGGATCTTGTATTTAAAAATTGATACATGACTTCCTAAATGTAACATGGACAGATGCAAAATGTAGCATATCGGAGAGTCGGCTCACATTACTATATTGCAAATGATAATAGATAAAGCTGCATGACCTATTGACTCGTCAAATTTCAAAAATATTCTTTTGTGACTTGAATCGCAATATTTTAAGTGAGGGATTTATTGTGCACAAGTACCCAAATATCAACAGAAGACCGTAGCCCACTATTCAACAAGTATGATTTCGGGAACCTATAAGCTCATTATATTATGAGATGGAAAGAAGTCCATCCATTACTGAACAAGGAAAAAATGTTACTGTCAACACAAGCAAGCAACATGCATGTTGAACAAAAGGAGTTGCACCATATCAAATGTATGCTTACCCTCAGTTCATCATAAGCCCAGTAGTATTGTGGATGTTTTCCTCCAGGGCCACCGAAAGCTTCTTGCCAAGAGTCTAGCATTGCCAAGATTTTGTTCCTTACATGCATACCTGTCTGCAAAAGTGCCCCAAATTTTTGTGATTGAAGGTAATGTAGAAGTGCTTAGCAACAGCTAGTTAGGTTATTGAACTTGTAACATAACAAAAAAGCAACAGCAGAAAAGTTAAAATGGTCATCATTACTTGCTAAGAAAACATTCAGCGACATGTAACAGAACTACAACAGAAAAAGGTTGTTGCTAGAAGATAATTAACACCAGATCCACTGAATAGAGGATAATGAGAAAGAACCTTAACACAATCCACAAACAGATAGAGATAAAGATGAGGCTAATGATAAAATCATTGCATTAGATAATAGCAACATCTTGCTATATGATAAGGCACACCAGGTAAGTACAAACCGAACTCGTCATAATTCCACATTGTATATAAGCTCAATAATGATTTACTTTGCCAAGATGTAGCTGGACAGAGAATCTTCAATTATCCCTTTGAAACGGTTTTAGTCGAGCCATCAGACACAGGATAATTACAAAAGAAGTGATAATTTTCTCATCAAAGCCCACTTCACTGGGCCCAAAGTAATTTATTACTGAATATATCCAAGGACAACCTTATCCTACCAGTTTGGTTGGCAGAGCTGGGCAATGTGACGGTGCCACCCCTTCTTAAACATGGTTGCAGGTGCTTAGTTGGAAGTTGTATAAATGATTGGGTGGTTCCCAGTCAAACAGCAGGGGCGGGCTGTTCTCCTTTGTCAACGTCTTGCTTCAGTTGTTGACAAAGTCAACCAAGCCTAACCAAGTGTCACAACATCCAGAGGCTCACTTTGTAAACGCTACAGAAGACTGGGGATAACAAACTTCAGTAGAGGCTCAAAGAGGGGTTTACTAAGCAAAAGGTCAAAGGTGCCTTTGCTATTTATCCTAATATACCACCGAGGGTGGCAGGCAAAGCTGCAAGGGGATTATGTGGCTTTCAGTTTGTATGCAGATTAATCATGTTAAAGTTTCACTTAAATTGACTAGATAAGAAAAACATTCATAACCATTAATGTCATATATTTGCTACACTTTGTCTGTGAAAAAATGCATGAATATTGACTACTATGATGCATTTGTCGAAAAATTCATAAGAGGGTTAGACACAAGACTTACTTAAAAAAGTACTGATTTTCTTTTGTTTTATAATTGTGTGATAATTTTTACATATACTGATAAATTACATATATCACATATATAAAACATAATTATTTATAGAGTGCCCAGATCTCTAACCGCGGTTCTTAGTTGGAAGGAGATGGAGGTCAAAAGTGCACACTCTAACCTCCAACCTATCAGGAGAACTCCATACCATCATTTTGTACTAATACTTTCACTATTTAGCACAGAATGATATCTTTGTCCCATCCCAAGTTGAGACAAGCCACTACTTGCACGAACTTGAGGGGGTCATCTACTGTGTTGACATGAATGTAGCAACAATTTTAGCACGCAACAAGTACTCACACTCAAAATCTTAAATATAAAGAAGAACATGGTGTATATATAAACAGAAGAATCAGAAAACCATAGATAACAAAATGGAACTAAACATTACACTAAAACTGTGAAACAAGTGAAGTGAATAAGAATGCCCAGCACATAATCAAATCAATATATAAGGACGACTTACCTTTTTCTTAACAATTTTGATCATATCTTGCAGTATATTCCTCTCAGCAATTTGAGAATGCACATAATCACCACAGTTCTTCACCATTGTCTCCAGAAGCTAATCAATATATAGGGCACACCATTATTGCACATAATTAGTGGACTTGAGGAAAAATACTAACACAGCCTTCAAACTAGAATCAACTCAAAGCATGAGATAATGGTACAGATGAAGTGTCCGCCAACAAAATATTTCAATCTCAGGTCGGACCTATTCACATGATTAAACCCTACAAATATAACAAAAATATACTGAGGCACCAGTTCCAAAAAAAATACCGTCAAGGCAAGTAGTTGAACTTCAGGGTTCTTATGCTGCAACCTTTTCTTCACAGCTTTGACAACATCTTTTGCTAGCCTGAGAAATTTAACACATGATCATCAAAACTCATGATGATATTTATTCTACTGTTTGCATACTAACATAACATAGAAAATACTTACCCCCCCCCCCTCCAAAAAAAAAAAAAACACGCACACACGACATATAATAGAAAATAAAGTTCAAACATATAGCAAACGAAATAAGTCAATTGAGTATTAGAAATCAATCAAACCCTACAGAAAAATTCAACACCTTCCAACCCCCTCCTCCCTCTCTATGTTCTCTCCTCTTTCACTATATTGTTAGGTAACAAAACGAGAAGAACTCTACAAGTCCTAATACGTCACCACTGCGAAAAGAAAATTAAAGGATAAAAAATTCAAGGATTGGATTCGAAAACTCTCATTGTAAAGATACTAGAATTCCAAGTAACCTAACAAATAATACATCAAAAAATTAAAAAATTAAAAAAAAATTCACCATGTACTATTGAACTTTTTAGCACACTCAAGTTATTAAAGATTTTGCTTCATATAATCTCAAAAAAAAGAAAGCATTTTCCTCCCTTCATACACACCAAATCCCGGAATTTACCCATCTCATATCACACCCACACACAAATACATGCATACATACATACATACAGACACATACACATATAATAGAAATCGCAGCATGTAAAACACAATTTAAAATAAACCCAGATAGAAACGTCAACTTTTTTTATGAGAACTGAAAGGGTATGAGTTTATTAGATTGGTACCAGTTATTGGTATTGATGGTATCACAAATATCGATGTTCATAGTCCAATCTGGTCCGATTAAAAACTCGCTCGTCGCCTTCTCCACTCGTACCGTAGCTGAAGAAGACGATGAAGAGGCAGACGATGGTATCATCATCATCTTTCTCTGTATTCTCTCTAAATTTCTCAAAACAAGGACAGATAAAATGACAAACAACACAAACTTTGTTCGTACATAAATGGGTGATAGATACGAACAGAATTAGGAACCAAGGTGGGAAGAGCTTAGAAACTTGTTAGTTTCTCGAGAAAATATGGTAGAAATATGTTTCCGATATGGCCCAAGAAAAAGTATGGAACTTTGTGTATGTTCTTTCTTGGCTTATGGTTTTTGATCTTTTTACTTTCCGGAAATTTCGTTTGCTTTTTCTTTCGCCTTTCTCTTCCTTGTTCTGTGTTACTTGCAATCAATTCCCCAAGTTCGGTATGCTTTTATTCTGGAGGACACCTACTCATCGAGTCAACTCAAGCAAATAGTGAGTTGCCTGCCTTGGCTCTATTTATTAACTGTATTTTTTTTTGGGATTAATTATTTTTTTTCACTTTTTTGTTTCAACTAGAAATACTTTATCTAATAAAGTTATACCTATTATCTTTTGCAGTTATGTACTAAAATGAAAGTGTTATTTTTACCAATGGAGAATGGGTTCTACACACCCAAAACATGCTGTGGATTTTATTTCTATTATTTTTCTCCCAAAGGAACATTATCTAAAAAACTCTTTATAATATATGATATAATACTTAAATAGATAGGACATTAGTCTCAAATCAAAAAACATGTAAGAAAAACATAAATAATTTTCAACCCTAAATCAAAATTTTACTTGAGGGAAAAAGAAACTCAACATATTTGATTGAAATGTGCTAGTTTGTTGTTATATTCTATTAATTTTATGGTCAATCGTATTTTAAAGTGTGTATTATGACAATTTTTTATTTCGTGAACAACGTCAATTACTTCACTTTGATATATAATTATATGAGGGTAATGTGTATAATTTTAAACAATAAGTAGGTAAGATATTTTTAGTCGAAACCATATGGAAAATTAACCTTTTTTCTTTTAATTAATTTTGGCTAACATAAGCTCAGCTTGAATAACTAAATGGAAAACTATTCCCACATCCCTTATATTATAGTTAAATTTGCAAATCTTATCATTATAGTCTCTAAATTTACATGGGAAAAGGGTTTATATTCAATGGGGGTAACCCTCTATTTGTCAACTATTAAGAACACAAATATACACATTCCTAATTTTATTATATCTAATTTTACTACACATCTATTTTATAACAAAAAATCAAATCATAATTCATCAAATATTAAAGAAAAAATTGTGGCATTAAAATTCATCAAAAATTAAATCAAAATTCAGACAATCCCTCATCATGGATCTCGAAATTGGCACGTAGTCAATGGTATGAACAAACAAACATAGGCAAAGTGAGGGGTAGTCCAAGAACTACAAAAAGGAAGGGCTTCCTCTCCCCCTCCCCTCCCATCCCAAATGGCTTGACTAGTGGCAAAGATCAACAATCACGCAAGCATTAGTGATACAAATCGGAAGCAATTTGGGTTGGGTTTTATGTGTTTGGATATGGTTGTGGAGGTCGGTGTTGTGGATGGTGGTCAATAGCACTAACAAATGCGAAAGTGGCCCTGACAATGAGTGAATGTTGGAGTGTGTGAAAGAGATAGAAGAAGAAGAAGAAGAATCAAGAAAGATAGATAGAGACAAAGAGAGAGTGTGTGTAAACAAGGTTGAGTGTGTTTAATTTGACAATGCAAGAGCATTTGGTAGATCTCATTTGCAACACTTTGAGGTAAACATGTTAAAACTAGTGTCATTACAACTCGAATATCATCATAGTGTTACAAAGAATAAGGGCATGTTTTTGGAATATCAATGAACAATTTGACTGTGAGTGTACTTTGTTCTTGTTATTATTTGTTTAACTTCCAAATCAAGAGGAGGCTAAATACAGCACTAGTACTAGCACTAGCACCAGCACTAGCACATAAAGACAGTGAAGTGGATAAAAACTATCCTTTTCGGCCCGATGCCTCTAAATAATCCAAAATTACGAGTAACAGTCGATTCCCATTTTTAAATTGTGTTGCTGTTTCAGAGCATCAAGAATGATGGAGATTCTGAGGATTATAAAGGTACTGCAAATCATTGTTTTCTCCTAGAACAATGTTTCTCTCATTACATTTTAAAAGGAGAATGTCACTGTACACCCTGAAATATCTTCAAATTTCGAAAAAGGTTGAAAAAATTTGGGTTGCACCCTCATTCAAATAAAATGATAGCAATGTGATCCAAAACTACACGTCTGTTGCTATTTTTGACCATTTTTTGTTGTTGTATTTCTTATATTTTAATATTTTTGTACACAAACTAAAGTATTTTACGTTAAAAGTATTTTACTAAATGACGAGACACATTCAACCTGTTAGATAAGTAGGTCTTATATACATCTGATGCCACTGAATCCTCTAAATGTTAGTGTTTCTTTTATTGCTGAGTTTCCATTGTTTGTGTTAACAACTATTGATGTAACTGTCTTTTTTGAACAAACTACATATCGGATTAAAGGGTTATTCTTACTTGTACTTCTAAAAGCTTATCAAAATTATGAACTTAATGCCTTAAGTTTTATAGTGTGTTTGATAGAGTAGATGGAAAAATGGAAGAATAGAATGTGGGAGTAATACATTTTCTATCATTTATCCTACAGATATTCTATCAAAATGAGAGCTCTTCTACTTTCTCTAAAGCCTTCCTACTCTATCTATAGTCCTGCTCTAAGCTGGTGTCTCAGTAATTGGTAACTAAAAGTCTCTCTCTGGCCTATGGTAATGCATAATTACCTCCTCGCCCATTGGACTTCATGTAGGAAATTTGGGGAATAGAACTTGATAAATTTTATGAATTAGGAGCTAGTCTTTGAGAATTAAAAATTCTCTTTGATATGAAAGCAGTAGAGTTGAGATTTTTCCTCAATGAATTTTCTCTCAAATTGGGTGTTTTCATGTGTGTTCTCTCTGTATGCAGAGAATTTTATTTATAAGAGATGATATATTAGCTACCCGTTACCACTCAGCATAATATCCTCAACTCCCCAAATATTTTCTCAATTCCACCAATATTTCTTCAACACTTTACAGTCAAAGAAGGTTAAAAATTCTCCAAGTAGGATTGACTAATTTTTCACTATTTGATGGATTCCTCTAGTCAAGTCATCCATACTAATTAGAAAAGATCTAACTCAAATATCTAATTATATCAATGTAATATATATGTATGCATACACCATTATAAAATAATATTTAATACATACTAATTTCACAAAAAATGCAACTATGATATATGTTATGAATAATGCAATATTTAACCAACGGATTAGGGTTTTTTAATTTTCGGATTTGACCACCAACTGTGTCTTAATTAATATCGAGAGATTTTAGCCACATATTCCAACACTTCTAAACCCACAAATTACTCAACCTTCAAACCCTCTTTCTCTTACCACTATTAGCTAGACCCAACCTATCTCAAATCCCGTAAACCCTAACCCTTTGAAACCAAATTAGCTCCCTTTTTTTAATCTCACTCTTTGTGAACCTTCTACCATGAAAGAGGTCCAACAATCAGGCTTAATGGGAAGACTTATTTCGGGTAAGGCTTTGAATAAATAGGGTGTTTGCAACATTCTAATAGGTGCGTGGAAAACATCCAAGGGTTTCTCAATCATCCACTGGGAAAGGAATACGTACATTTTCATGTTCAAAGATTAAGAAAATCATAACAAAATACTCAATGAGGGGCCATGGTCAGCAATGCGGTTTCTCTTGGTCTTGAAGAAATGCTCGCATCAAACAACTCCAAGAGATTATGATTTCCATTCCACAGCTTTTTGGATTCAAATTTGGGGGCTTTCTTCTAGATATGATGTATGAGAATACTTCCTAGCATATTGGCCAAATTATCAGAGAACTCATAAAACTTGAAGAGTTTGAAAGAGACCTCCTCATCCATCGAAGCTATCTCAGAGTCCTTTGTGAAATTGACTTGAAGGAGCCCCTGAAGAAAAGCTTCTATCTAGTTTGGGGCAACCATGATGATACCTAGATAAGCTTCAAACACGAAAGTTTATGTAATTTTTATTATTTCTATTGGAAAATAGGCCACACTCAAAACTTTTGTTCAAGAAAAATACTGGAGAGTTCCTACTTGGAATTTGGGAATGATTTGGGAGGGTGGTCGTGGTCTGCGAAGGTGGGATGAAGAAACCCCCTAAGCTTTCAAATCTTGATTTGTAATTCTTCTTAAAACTTGTTTAAGCTTTGTAAGGAGAGCTAATTTGGGGTCAAAGATTCCAAATATGGTCTTGGAATCAAGTTTTGAGGTCATTTGGGGGAGGGATGAAAATTGAATTTTTAGGTCTAGTTAACATTTTAGTTCAAACTTTTGGCCCCACTTTGACCTTGAATTGATGGAGATTGAGGGGTGTGGTTTGTAATATTTTAAAATAGGATATGTGGGGGGTTTTCTGGGTTTTGAAAGAAAGTAAAAAGTTTGAGTATGGAGGGAGAAAGAAGGGTGCAAAATGAGGTGGTTAAGATGAAAATCTGCAATCATGGCAACAAGGAAAAAGAAGAACAAGAGAAGGAGGAAGGGGGGACACCAGCTCACCCTGATGATGCGTGAGTGCTTCAACTTTAATATTGTAAACACAAGCACATGTTAAGCGAAGTAATATAATTCTCGAAAAATCGAGGTCGAACCCTCAAGGAATTGTAACAAAAAAACAATCACACAATACTAAAACAAACTTAAAAGTAACTGATTTGTTTAGGGAATTATTGAACAAAGAAAATTGATTTAAATAATTAAAATAGTAATAAAAATACTAGAGCATTAGGTACTCCCTCTCAATTTCATACAATAATGATTAAAGACTCAAATCTTAAGTTAAGACAAGAATCAGATGTCGGTTGATTCGAGTAACAAATCAAGTAAGAAAATTAAAAATTATAATCAAAAGATTATTCAGGAACTTGAATAATCAACCAATTATATTATTTTATAAAATAATGATAATTACCTCAAGCATGAAATAACCAGTTATTTACTCGCAGAAAAATTCAAGCAATCGATGTACATAGCACAATGACTCAAGAATTTTTATAGAGCAAAAACTTTACTATAAGATTAGAAGTCAAATTAACAAAATATCATAAATCATTAAATTCAGAATTAACAACATTATCGTACTTCATTGAGAGGTTTTCTCCTAGCCTTAGCTTAGTCTTCTTACCAGACATGACAAACTAAAATCAAAACAAAAAGATGAGAAAAAGGATTATTAAAATCCTAAACGAGAACCCCTATTTATACTAAAAATAAA